AATATATATATACATATATATAATATATATATACATATATATAATATATATATATATATATAATATATATATACATATATATAATATATATATATATAATATAATATGTAATATATCCATACATATATATATATATATATATACATATATAATATAATATATATATATATACATACATGCATATATACACGTATATATACGTACATATATATAAATATAAATATATATATATATATATATGTACTTATATACATAAATACATACATATATGCATATACACACACACATATATATATATATACATACATATATACATATATATATATACAACACACACACACACACACACACACACACACACACACACACATATATATATATATATATCCGTAGGGCATATATATGTGTGTGTAGATCTCTACAAATATATAACAATGCTCGTGAATAGACAAAATTTTGTAGCTTAGATAAATGCACCTGTACTACGACAAGGAATCAAGCAACCTTTGTAATACCTGAGCTTGTATGGCAGAGTTGAAATGCTGGCCATCCACGCCGTTAGCCGCTCGTCCCGCCAGGAAATCGACGTTGTTCACATGCAAAGTTTGTGTTTCTCGACTGCGGTACGCAGGAGAAAAGTGATGGATGGATGAGATTGAAGCTGATATGATTACAGCAATCATTTTTGTCTTCATATATACAGAGAAATAAGAAACTTTCGGTAGGGCGTGCGATTCACACACGTAGGCGACTTCTTCGTACGTATATACGGCTGCCGAGTTAGACAAGAACTGTATCCGATGACGATGGAATCAAATCGATAAAACTTTACTTACTTGTTCAGCATAAGTCCGGCTTTGTAGCGAGAATCAAAGTTCATCAGAATCCTTGGCTTGCCGAGAGTGCCACATTCTTCCCCGATTATAGCGAGATCATGGCTGAAATAGACCGGATTTGTTATTGATTTTTTGCCCGATATGAAGATTACATCACCTACAGTGGTCAAGAAGCACACAAATCAGGATATGTTGGTGTCACCACACCAGTCTACCTTATTCCTTATACCATCAATCGCATGTATAATAATAGTCTTATAGACTTTTTCATCATGTATTGAATAAGCTTACTTACCTGCGGCGCTGTTCGTAATTGCAGTCTCGAGGTCGACTACACATGATACTTTCAGCCAGACTTGTTCACCTACACATCCGCAAGATCGTCCTCCAGTGGTTAGCAAAGCATCATTCCAAATGGTTCTCTCTTCGTTAATCCACAAACGGCCTTCAAGCAACGATTCGTCAGATCCCTGGCTACCCATCTCCCCATTTTCTCTGTAGTAGTCTGCCAAACTCGTACCGTCAGACAACACGGTTCCATTCTCTAAAATATATTGACCCGGCTTGAGCGTGACATTGCCTTCACTACCCGGTAGCTCATATATTGGCAGCCAAAGTTGTTCGCCGTCACTTTGTGTTACGATCTCTTCTCCCAGTAGTTTATGGGGTACTGTGCGTGGAATATATATATGTGGGGTGTCAGAAAGGGCGCAACGTATTGACACGCATGTCAGGCGATAGGGACTTTAAGTTTTTGAGGATTGCTTCGATAGACTATTGGGCTGTATCAAGACCGGATGAATGAATGATATGACAGACTATAACAATTCTTCATGAGCTCCGATCAGCCCTACAATTAGCATGCAAGGCTATTGAACGATTAAACTGCAAACAGAAGCAAAGAGTAAAAGCATCTCAATCTTGGATTCCAACTCAATTTCAAGAACCACTTGCAAGTAGTTCAAAATGCCAACCATCATACACTTCTCATATCTCTGGCAATCACAACATCTAATGCAACTCACAACAGTTAACACTTAATTCAATGTATTGCTCTTTTCCCAACGAATATCTTGTATGCTTTGTAAGCGATTGCATGGAGCATGCAACCACAACAAATACTAACTTCCATACTTACTTTCCAAGGCCCTCACTGCTCGAGTACGCACGGCGTCTGTGTAGTGATCTCTGTATTGATTCTTTGCCAGCCACTTGTCTTGTGGTCCATAATCCAACTCAAGTGCTGGATTACCTACCGCATTAGCATAAACTAACTGATTGATAGCCTCAGCAAACTCAGGCCAATCGTTACCGTAAGTGATGTCAGGGGCCTCCGAATGTGGCAATGTCACTTGCCGTTGTTCAGGTCCCACCTCTCTGGCAGTTGCGCCTGAGCATACAAGCAGCACTGCTGTTGCTATACAGAAGATTGGCATGTTGTCGGTACGTATATCGACTGTGGTGCTCGGGGAAACTGACGACTAATCTGCCTATGCCTCGCCTATTTATGCTATACATATTTCATAAAACAAAAAGAAATGCTCTTTAGAAAAGTTACATTACTGCGCAGCAACATATTTTTTACAAGTTTAATTTTTATTGAAATCAATGAACATAAAACATATCGAATCATTCAAATGCTGATATATCAATACATAAATATTAAAATATATAAATACACATTTGTATCACTTTATTTATTTATCTTCTTTCGTCAATTTGTCAAAAACTGTAAATCCGGTTTAAAAAATTGTTGCTAAGCGTGTAATAAATTTTACGCCAATCATACGACTTTAACCATGTAAGCTAAGTTATAAGCCAATCAATTCCATCTTACCAATCAATTTTGTATAAAATTAAAAATATCACAGCGACAGTCTCATAGACTAACAGTAGGCAACAGATAGTCAGATACAAACAAAAATCATTTTATTGAAGTTGATATGTAAATATATAAAAAGATATGATCCATCTTGTATCAATATGTTGCAGTCGCGTATAGAGTGCCATGACTGCTGTCCAATTAATGAGGCCCGAAATAATAATGCGATTGAAGAGTTAGATAGCGGAATCGATTCAGAATCAAGAGGAGACCAATGATCACAGTCGGACGAAATTATGATACCGGGTATATATAAATATAAAATTTAAAAATGTATTTCTACAAAATATTGGCCACATATATACATCAAATCAGCCTTTTAGGGGGGTTGAAAGGAAGTTTAAGACACGAAATCGACAGCCCATGCTTACTATCATCCATGACGGGTCTCGGGTATAGTCATGGCATCTGTGAGACTCAGAGACGCATTAACATATGCATATGCATGCCTAAGTTTCACTGTGAAAATAACCGTACTGTTCCACTTGCTACTATTCGACGCTTTCCTCGGGTATGTTATCGATGTTTAAAAATTTTATTAGAAAAAATTAACACTACACCTGCCTACAAACACTCAATCACACAATCACACCACAATACATGAGTTTGCGTGTAATTTTGTGACCTTGTGCATGTGCATACGTGTTCGTGTTCGTAATTATTAATAGGCACTTACATAGCCATTTCCAAACCCAAATACGTATACACATCAGTGTACATATAGACATACAATAAGTATTTGCACATGCATGTGATACATACCTGTTTTGTGATTGAATATGCCCGTTTGTCATGTTGCGTCCACATTCAACCGTGAATATTCACGGGTATGTGACGCGTATATAAGATTAATGAAACAATACTCACAACATGCACGAGCGCGTGTTCGTTGTAAAGTTGTCTATCTACAATAGCATGAACATGTTTTGGTAGTCGAGTCTCCTTATTGCTCTCTACTAGAGAGAGAGAATGTGACTGTTGATTGTTGGGTCAAACTGTTGAGTTGAGTTGTTGACCGGTTTCGCGGTTTCGCCTCTTGACGCCGGTGATCTCTGTAGATCTATTAAAATACATTGAAACTGCCTTTTGATTCGTCCTGATCACTATGACCAATAATTGGCGATAATTGAAGAATATATGTACATATCATATACAGACACCTATTTTTTTTGTAAGAGACTGAGAGACCTTGGTGACTTGGTCATTGACTCAATGTTATTACACTGTGACAGTATGACTTGGGGGTTGTGGTGAACTGGTGATCAGTTCCAGTATTCATTCAGATTCAGGATTCTGAGATTTGAGATTTGAGATGTAAGGAGATTTGAGATTTAAGATTTCAGCTTCAATCAGGGACCCAGTCCCTGAGTCACTATTCTCTCCAGCGGCCCCAAGGGACTCACGAGGGCTCATGTTGGTGGCCGCTCAGCCGGTCAGCGGGCCCCAGGGCCCAAGCCTCAGGTCTGAGTCTCAGTCGACTCTGAGGCTCTGAGCCCTGGCCTGAGGTCTTAGTTCAGAGCTCTCACCCACCTGATGACCACCTCTGCCGGTCTGTCCTCTCTTGAGTGGACTTGGAGCCTAGGGAGTCGGGACTAATCACGAAGTTTGGTTTGGTTTGGTTTTTAATTTTGATTAAAAAAATAAATAAAAAGAAACAAAACAAAAAAGGTAAAACAAAAGTTTGTGGTGTCTGCCAAGCTTGCCCCTGCCTGAGAGAACTGAGTGCCTTGCTGGAGACCTGGCCTTTTGTCTTGTTTTTTTAACAGTTTTACATACAAAAAACGAAACCCCCAATCAACAAAATGAGGGAAACTTGAGACGTTTGTTTAAAAAAAACAAAACAAAAAGAGTTGAAAGTACATAGCCTTCTAAATGAAATTATATAGTAAAAAGAGGTTGTCAGGTTGAGCCTTTGAGGTTTGAGAATTTGAGATATTTCGAGAAGACAGATCTCGAAAAGACAGGAAAAATCCTTTACCTTCGGCTTCCAGAATGAATAGACCTAAATATTCTGCGACAGGGTTCCATAGTCCAAACATAGCCTAAAAAAAGTAGAAGGCTATGCATATAGAGTGTATCCAGATTCCAGCCCCAAGGACCCAAGCTGTTTTGTGATTATTTACCAGTGCACTACTGTGCAGTTTATGTTTCAATTCTTCTCAAATGTAAAAAAGATACGGAGAACATCGTTCTTCATTTTAGCCCGAAAGTAAACAAAAGGAAAGATACGAAGTTCTTAACAAATTATTATTATGTACTTGATTTAAAAGAAGTAAACAAATACAATTTGAAAAATTGGAAGGGGACAACAATGGTGAAACAGACTCGACACGTTCTCATCGGCTTGGACGGTTCCGATTGCAGTAAACATGCTTTGAAATGGGCTCTCGACAATGTAGTACGGGACAAAGATCTTCTCTTCCTAGTTATCGCATTTCAGCCGCAGCTCGTGCCCTTAGCTCTTGGTCCAGGTGCGTATACCGTAATCGTTTTGTACCCTTGATATCTTGTCTTTATTGTTCCCAATCGTTTGTTTAAGCGTATCGACAAATGCTTTTCGTTATATTTTAGTGTAGTGAGGTGTTGTACTTCATACTTTTGATGTATGTGTTGTATTTGTGGTGGCTAATACCTTTACTATCTGAACGCAGACATGGAGGTACAATTCACCAATCCCCCAGACAACGAAATAGAGAAAATGATGTCACAGTGCAATGACTACCTAGAACAGATTGGAACTGAGGTCATAGGAGAGCGTTCGGTAAGTGTCGACCCGGTCGAATGAAAGAATGTTCTCAGACTCGTTATGATCAACTAAAATGACATCATCAATACTTACGAATCACTGTGAATTCTTGTGCTTTTATTTTAATTTTTGGATCCAGATTGAATATAAATTGCTCAGTTTACAAGGAGATCCTCGGGATGTCTTCCCGGCTGTATGTGATAAGGAGCAAATTGATATGGTTGTTGTGGGATCTCGCGGCATGGGAGCCATCAAACGGTACGGCCATTGAAAATGTGATTTAACACAAGCGCAACGTCACGCTGATCATATTCACATCAAGAATTGGCTCACTGTACTTCCTTTTGCAAGCCAAGGAAGTCACTCACGATATTGTATGTCATTTCCTGTAGGTTACTTGTCGGATCCGTGTCGGATGCACTAGTGCATAACTTGAAGGTTCCTGTGACTGTAGTACACCCTCCGGAAACTAATGAAGCAAAACAGATGTGACAGGAAAAACCAGCAATATTTAGTAAGCTAGAGAAACAAGCCGTATACACGCCAATAAAGTATGGCAATTATAATATTTATGTCTACTCCTCAAACAATTCGAAAATTGTTTGAAAATATCAAATAGTCAAATAGAAAGCCATAGATAATTGAACCCGCTACGAACTACATACGATTGAACGATAAATCCGAGGTGAACATTATCGTGTCACCTATGGTGACAAAGGTATTTAGCTAATGATGTTAGAAGGATCCTTCCTTTTTATGACTTTATGAGCACAAACCACAAGGGAACCGAACCACTCGCAGCCGCTACAGTTTAGATCAAATGACAAATCATGTGCACGACTACGCATATTAAGTCAAAAATTGTAGTGTTTGACTCATAATTTTTCAAAAAAAGAAAAAGGAGTCAGGACTCAGGACGCAGGACTCAGGAGTGAGACTGAGCTATGCTCGCACAAGTGACAACATAAAACAATAACATTGGACGGAGGAGAACGTTACCGGGGATTATACTCTTTACATTGATCCAGAGCCTAGAGGCAGAGGTACGTAGAATTTATATGATTCGCATTCTTCATATTGACGAGTAATAAATTCATACTTAATCCTATACCGATCGAACTATTGGCCTATAAGTGATACATGTCGCAGTGCCCTTGCATGGCTGCATCTCTATCCAATCAATCGATTTTGATAAATGCCGTGTTCTATTGGTCTCCATTGTGTATTTTTTAAACTGTATTCAGAGTTCAGAGTTCAGACTCTCAGACTCAGAGTCAGGCCTGTGACTTTAGGGCCCAGGGCCAGTGGGCCTGTGAGGCTGTGGCATCTGTTGTCCCACTCACAAGACAACTAAAATATTGCAGACCACATCCTATTTATTTTAGAACACTGAAATCCTGGATGGTCTTGGAGTCTTGGAGTCTTGGACCTGTGGATTCTGGAATATCCGAGTAATGTATGTACAAGAGAGTGTAAATATATACAATTTTACAGTACATAGTACAAACTCCATACTGAGTGAATACAAAACTTCTATTTAAAAAAATAAAGGTCATCAATTTGGTCCAATTCTTGTTGCTCATTGGTCCATATGAAAATTGTTTAGGTTCTATCAACTTCCTTGATGAGAATAGTATAATATACGACGTAACATTTGCAACCGCATATACATACGGACGGTTATACAGTAATCAGTATACAAGCCCTCGCAGGCTCGCGGCTCGCGTAGGCTCGCAGGACGCAGGACGCAGCGGCGCAGTCTCGTTCACACAAGATTTATACCCTGAACCCTCAACCCTGAGGGTAAAAAATGTGCTAGGGATACTGTACAGAGAATTTACTGTGCGTCTGTTACTTCTCTGTGGCCTGTGGCATTCCAGAATCCAGACTCCTATAAACGAATACGATAGACCGTCGGGCGTAGTGTCCTCGGACGAACCCTACAGTCCCTCATACACTCTAGCGGAGCACTGGAGTTTGGATTGTGTTTTTAAATACTGTTTTTCTCCAATGGCTATTACAGCACTACTATTTATAAATATCACATGATGATGATATCATGATGGTGGTCGAAAGTCGTATTAGCCAACAAGTCCGCAACTCCCGCTGTCGCGCTCGCCTCCACTACAAGAACCCATGATGACACTTTGACGCATGTCAAAAAAAACAAATAGATACTGAGCCTGAATTCATTCAATATTAAAAGGGTCTTCAGTGCGTCTGCGGCCGTGCGGCGTGCAGGGGCGGGCCGTGCGGTGGTGGGGGCGGGGAAATATGTAAATAAAATTAAAAGATACATATGGTGGCCGGTGGGTCTGGGTCTCTGAGATGGCTGTCGTTCTTGGGAGGCAATGTATGGGATGGCGGGGTAAATTTGAGTCTTCCAAAAAATAAAAATAAAATTGCGTATGTAGCAAAAAATGGCGCTGTCTTGTGGTGCAGATGATTTGCTATATTAAAACTGTAAACAATGAATGTCGGAGCAATCATTCACATCATACGACATAGTTGGACGTGTGCAGACTCGTATTTATTATACATGATGTTTGGCGCAAGGTGAGTCCTTTTCCGAAGCAATCATTTTTCCTTCTATATTGATCGTATTTTACGCGCTTATAGCTGTGATCCAGAAAGTTACTTTTGTAGTTCCAAATTTGTGTGGGCTGTATCAATGAAAGTTTAAGAGCGAATTCGCCCTGTCCAACGTAGGCGCAGGTATACACCTCTATACTCACACTAGTATTGTGTTTTAGATGCGCAAAGTTTTGCTTTAATTGGGTATTTGATTCTTGGGAAGCTTCACTTCCATATGAATATTTCTTCCT